GCATCCTCCTGCTGATATCCTCATCGCCGGCCGCCGGTCTGAATTCGAATATGCCGCGCCTGCAACCACACCCCTCCACCCTATTCCAACCGCCTCGAGCGGGTTCGTCGTCGATCTCACCTGCGGCGTCGCCGCCCACACTTTCTTCTCCGCCTGACACTCCAGTGAAGAAGACTAGAGGAGGAGGCTCAGGCGACCTCTCGGTTCATGTGCCGACGATGAGTCTATTTCGACACAGGATAAATCGTCACCGAGTGTCTGGGATCTTTTTATGATTTGTGCGATTTGGGGCTTAGTTTGGTACATGGAACGGCAGCGAGGATGGCGGAGATGCGACGGCCGACGACAACTCCGGCGGCCGGTGTTGACAGCGGCGTTTTGGGCTGAGATGAGTGACGGGAGGGTATTTTTGGTTAGGGTTTTGCTTTGGAAAATTTGATATGTTTGGGGGACTGTTTTGCAATTATTAAATTCTAAATCCATGTATATCTTTATTTATGGATGACAATTTATAATTTAATGACGACTAATATATGCACATAATGATACATTAGTTGCATGATATCGTTTATATGTGTGCACTTTAGAAAAAAATAATGCCATATGTGTATATGAAATTATATAAAAATCAATAAATACACCACTTATTCGATAAATGGATTGCACAATATTTTGAATACATTTGCGTTTTAAAAGTAAAAAACAAATAGTCAAAATGAAATATAAAATTTTGAACTTAAAATTTCAACGTAACAGAATTGATTTGTCGGTTAACATAAATAATCAAAATAATTGACATAAATTAAATTATTTATTGTAAAAAAAATATGATTAGTATTTAAAATATTTTTAGTGGATATTTATTATTATTTTTTTTGATTAAAGAATTGTATGTAAATGAAATATAATATTCAATTTAAAAGTTATTAAGGTGCGTCTCGTCCAACACCACTGTTAGGCGGTGCCCGGGCGCCTCCGATTTGCACAAATCGGCAGAAAAAATCGGTCAGGCGGCTAGGCGGCGCCTAGGCGGGCCTAGGCGGCCCTAGGCGCTCCTAGGCGCCCTTGTCGGGCGCGACGGCCAGGCGGTTAGGCGGCGCCTAGGCGGGAATAGGCGGACCTAGGCGCTCCTAGGCGGGCTTGGCGGCAATTTTTCAGTTTTTTTTTTAATTTTTTTAATTTTTTTAAAAATTAATTACATTATTTTATTCTCATGTTTTCTTTAAAATATATTAATTTTATTATTTTGACTTAGGTGTGTCGATTTATTATAAGTTGAGATAGTTTTATTTTGTAGGTAGTCAAACTAAATAAAAAATAAGGTATTTAATATTGATTTCTAGGCCCCGACTAGACACCGCCTAGGCCCCGCCTAGGCGCTCTAGGCGCTAGGCGCTGGTCGAGCGCCTAGCGGGCGCCTAGCGACTTTTAGAACACTGTCCAACACTATGGTGCAAAACGTCGCTATATATTGTGCAGCTTGAACCAATCGAACTTTTGTCTAGATTAAATTGAAAATGAATATAATTTATTGATTTGTCCAGTTCAGTTAACTGAATTATCCCAAATAATATAAATAATTTGTTATTTAGATTAAAATTATACTTAATATGTTAATAGTTTTATTATGTTTTTTGTTGAAAAAATTTGAATTCACTCGGTTACGACTTCTATTGCGCAATCCGATAGTCACGATAACGTGTATAGTGGTTTTTTTTAAAGTGTAACGTGTCATTTTCTAAAGTGCAACGTGATGTTTTATAAAGTGCAACATGATGATATATAGATTGAACTACTGTAGTTTTGGTACATTAGTTTTTTTGTGTTTTTGTATTGGTAATTGATGCGGGTGATGTTAAATTATTATGTGCATCCCTTTTTTAGATTTATATTGTGTAGTATCTTGGCGAGATCTTACGACGATTATTGTGTAGTGTGGTTATAAATAAAATGTGTTGTTTTATAAAGTGCAACTTGTTTTATTATAAAGTGCATTATGTTGATATATAAAGTGCACTAGTTATAAATGAAATGTGTTGTTTTATAAAGTGCAACTGGTTTTGTTATAAGTTGATATATAACGTGCACTACTTTATATAGCTATAAATGAAATGTGTTGTTTTATAAAGTGCGACTTGTTTTATTATAAAGTGCATTATGTTGATACATAAAGTGCACTACTTACTCTATATGCTCACATATAAATTACGTGTTTTTTTAAAATTAAACTTGGTAAATATAATTGTACATCGAATTAGCCTAAATAATTAAAATAATTTATTATTTATTATTATACAAAATATATTTATTATTTTAATATTTTATGTATTAACATTTTACGTATTAAAATATTTAATCATTGTACACATTATTTTTCATTAAAATGCACTCGTGAAGTAAATTAAAAATATAATCAAAATTAATAAAATTGTAAAATTGTCCTTCAACACTATTTAATTATTGCTTTTTTAATTAGATGTTTGGTCATGAAATAAATTAAAATATAGTCAAGATTAAAAAATTTGCAAAATTTTCCCTTAACAATCAAAATTAATAATATTTTTATTTATTACTGTATCATTTTTATATGATTTTAACATTCTGAATTATTTTTATTATTAATTTTTGTTTTGTTATCTTAATATATATGTATAAAAAATATAAAAAAATAAAAAGTTTTTTCTTAATTACAAATAGTGCCCATGGGACTAAATTGATATTTAATCAAACTTTTTTAAAATTACAATCACACCCCTCATAAATATCTAATTCTAAAAAAAAATGATACCTTCATAAATCAAATTAATTAGCAGAAATCGTCAATCTCCCGGACGAATCTCTGGTGGTCTGGTTGTCCCCTCACACGAAGAGGTTCCTCTGCTCGCGATGACGGATTCGGGGTGTTACAGACGACGGCGAGCGGGGGAAGATGGAGCTGGTCAGCGGCGGGACGTGGAGAAGCATGGCGGGGGTTGGGGAGAGAGAGGAAGGCGCGACGTGGGTCATGAGCGACGGACATGGTGGCGAACGTAGCTGCCGGCCTCCCCAACGAAAATCTACCGGACAAGAATCGGTGGACTAGAGGCCGCTGGAGAGGCTGGAAGAGACGACGAGACGAACGGCGTCGTACCAGAGATCACCACTTCCAACGGCGGGGCGGCATACGGTGGACGTGTGGTTGCGGACGTCGGACAAGCGTAACGTTGGCGGGATTCTAGGCGACGACGCCATCGTGGTGTTCGTCTGTTACACAGGTGCTGGCGAAAATTGTGTGTATGTGTGGTGTGTGTGTGTGTTTGAGAGAGAGAGAGAGAGATAGAGAGAGAGAGAGAGAGAGAGAGAGAGAGAGAGAGAGAGAGAGAGTTAATGATGAAAGAGAGAGAGAGATAGGGAGAGAAAAAGTTAATGAGGAAGATAGAGGTGAGTGGGTGATGTGTCTGGCAGTTGGGATGTGGTGTGGGTGGGCCCAATGTTTTTTTGCTGTTGTTAATTACTAAATTATCCTTAAAGAAGGTATACTTATGCTTTTTTTTTTTTCTAGCCATTAGATCATGCGATCGAATGGCTACGATGCACTCTTATTTCTTTTCTTGAGCACCATTCTCATCGGAGCGCGACCCTATATATATATAATCAATATTTTTAGTAATATCTTGTTTTTTATGTATCGAATTGTTAATACATTTTTATATTGGCTTATGGTTATTCTCAAATAAGTTTATTTTAGTGTATAATTTTCACTTCAATTAAATTTTATTTAGTGATTATTTG